ACATAATAATAATAACAATTAATAAGGTAGACAATACATATATACACAACAACACACAACAATAATAATAATAACAATAATAATAGGCACAACTTATACTCAATAACAATAATAATAATAGTAGGACACAACTAATAATCACACAATAATAATAATAATAATAATAATAATAATAACAACAATAAAATAAAGAGTAGACAATACTATACACAACAATAATAATAATAATAATAATAACACAATAAATGACCACACACACTAGTCACACACAGCATACATACACACAGGTACACGATACTCAACACATGCAACACACAGAACACGAAAGAAGTAACTAATAATAATAATAATAACGAGACTCGGAATTAACAACGTCACATAATAACAACGTCCCAATCAACAATGTCCCAATAGCAGAGCGGAGAACTGGAATTTCCCAGTACTGTAATAAGGTTCATGACTATATAATCAGAATAATAATAATAATAATAACACACAACAACACACAATAATAATAATGGTAATGTACAACTAACGGACAAGGCAAACATGGTCATACATAATAATAATAACAATAATAATAATAATAAACAATAAGCATATAATTAGTGACACAGCACAACATGGCACACGCTAACACAATAATAATAATAATAACAATAATAATAACAACTAGCACAATTGCCCTGCCTGTTAACTCATAATCCTAATAATAATAATAATAATAATAAAAATAATACATAATGCACCTCCATATCATTCTCAAACTATCAATTACTAACTCGGCTCACATTAATAACACACAATAATAATAATAATAATAATAGGAAGTGTAAATTAACAGGCAGTGCAAACTTGTCTCATGTTGTTAACACACAATAATAATAATAATAAATGTAAATTAACGGACAAGGCAAACTGTGCTCCATTAATAATAATAATAATAATAATAAATGTACATTAACGGACAAGGCAAACTGTGCTCCAATAATAATAATAATAATAATAATAATAATAATAAATGTAAATTAATGGACAAGGCAAACTTGGCTCCGTTAATAATAATAATAATGATAATAATAAAAATAAGTGTTAATTAGTGGACCGGGCAAACTTGGCTCCGTTTAATAGTAACACAACACACAACAACAATAAACTTGGCTCCGTTTGCCCTGCCTGTTAACTCATATTTCCTATCATTATTATTATTATTATTATTATTATTATTATTATTATTATTGCACCTCCATTTCATTTTCAAACTTTCAATTTCTAACTTGGCTCCAATAATAATAATAATAATAATAATAATAATAATAGGAAGTGTAAATTAACAGGCAGTGCAAACTTGTCTCTGTTGTTAATAATAATAATAATAATAATAATAAATGTAAATTAACGGACAAGGCAAACTGTGCTCCATTAATAATAATAATAATAATAATAATAATAATAATAAATAATGGGAAGTGTAAATTAACAGGCAGTGCAAACTTGTCTCTGTTGTTATTAATAATAATAATAATAATAATAATAATAATAAGTGTTAATTAGTGGACTGGGCAAACTTGGCTCCGTTTAATAGTAATAACACACACACACACAATAATAATAACACAATAAACTTGGCTCCGTTTGCCCTGCCTGTGAACTCATATTTCCTATTATTATTATTATTATATTATTATTATTATTATTATATTATTATTATTATTATTATTATTATTATTATTAACAACGGAGGGATCGATGGGTCTAATCATCGTTATCGCAAACGACCCGGCATTCGAACTCGCCGCCCCCCAATTTCGCTTAATTGTTCCGGTTAATTCCGAGCCCCACCTAAGGAAAACCACCACACACGCCATGCCAAACCCCCAAGCGCTCCGGGTTCCGCGCCGTGCCCCACACACGCCGTGCCCCACGTGATTCGCCGCGAGGTGCCGGGTTCGAGAACCGCCGCAAAGCGAGTGGCTCAGTTCGGAAGCGTCGCAAAACGACTGGTTCGGTTTGGATCCTTTGCAAAAAAAACCCAAACCCAACCAATGGCTTGATCTAGAACCTTTCGCGAACCGAATGGGCCGACCTAGAACCTCCGCCAAACGAGTGGGTTGATCTAGAACCTCCGCCAGACGAATGGCTAGATCTAGAGCCTTTGCGAATCTAACGCCTTGATCTAGAAGCTTCGCGAAACGAATGGGTTGATCTAGGGCCTTCGCAAACCGGATGGCTCGATCTAGAACCTCCGCAAAGCGAGTGGCTCAGTTCGGAAGCGTCGCAAAACGACTGGTTCGGTTTGGATCCTTTGCCAAAAAAAACAAACCCAACCAATGGCTTGATCTAGAACCTTTCGCGAACCGAATGGGCCGACCTAGAACCTCCGCCAAATGAGTGGGTTGATCTAGAACCTCGCCAAGCAAATGGGCTGATCCAGAGCCTCGCCAGACGAGCGGGTCGATCTAGAGCCTCCGCCAAGCGGGTGGGTTGCTCTAGAGCCTCCGACAAACGATTGGCTTGATCTAGAACCTCGCCAAACGAATGGGCTGATATAGAACCTCGTCAAGCGAATGGGCTGATCTAGAACCTCGCCGGACGGGCTGATCTAGAATCTCCACCAGACGAATGTGTTGATCTAGAACCTCCGCCAAACGAGCGGGTCGATCTAGAGCCTCCGCCAAACAGATGGGTTGACCTAGAATCCCCACAAAACGAGCGGGTCGATCTAGAGCAACCGCCAAATGAATGGGTTGACCTAGAACCTCCGCCAAACGAGCGGGTCGATCTAGAGCAACCACCAAACGAATGGGTTGACCTAGAACCTCCGCAAAACAAACGGGTCGATCTAGAGCAACCGCCAAACGAATGGGTTGATCTAGAACCTCCGCAAAACGAGCGGGTCGATCTAGAGCAACAGCCAAACGAATGGGTTGACCTAGAACCTCCGCCAAATGAGCGGGTCGATCTAGAGCCTCCGCCAAATGAATGGCTTGATCTAGAGCCTCCGCCAAGCGAATGGGTTGACCCAGAGCATCCGACAGACGAATGGCTTGATCTAGAACCGCCGCCAAACGGGCGGGTCGATCTAGAACCTCGTCAGACGGATGGCTTTATCTAGAACCTCTGCCAAACGGGTGGGTCAATCTAGAGCCTCCGCAAAGCGAATGGCTTCATCTAGAGCCTCTGCCAAACGGGCAGGTTGATCTAGAGCCTCGCCAGACGGATGGGTTGATCTAGAACCTCGGCCAAACGAGCGGGTTGATCTAGAGCAACCGCCAAACAATTGGGTTGACCTAGAACCTCCGCAAAACAAATGGGTCGATCTAGAGCCTCCGCCAAATGAATGGGTTGACCTAGAACCTCCGCCAAATGAGCGGGTCGATCTAGAGCATCCGCCAAATGAATGGGTTGGCCTAGAACCTCCGCCAAATGGGCGGGTCGATCTGGAGCAGCCGCCAAACGAATGGGTTGATCTAGAACCACGCCAAACAGAGTTGATCTAGAACCTCGTCAGACGGGTGGTTGATCTAGAGCCTCCGCCAAACGAATGGGTCGACCTAGAACCTCCGCCAAGCGAGTGGGTTGATCTAGAACATCCGACAGACGAATGGCTTGATCTAGAACCACCGCCAGACGAGCGGGTTGATCTAGAAACTCGCCAGACGGATGGGTTGATCTAGAACCTCCGCCAAACGAGCGGGTCGATCTAGAGCATCCACCAAACGAATGGGTCGATCTAGAACCTCCCCCCCAAAAAAATCCGAGCGGCTCAGCCTGGAACCTTTGCAGAGCGACCGGTTTAGTTCCGACCCTTTGAAAAAAATCTCGCGTTTCGATCTAGAACTCGGGCAAAGGGGGCGGCTTGATCTAGAACCCCCTTCCCGCCGGCCCCCCAAGCGTTAGTCCGGCGTCACCAAAAAGCCAGCCTGGGAAATTAATCAGGAACGTGCCGTTTTTTGGGATAGGAAAAGCCGAAAAACAACCGGAATAAATTGGAATAAATTAGAATAAATTAAAATAAATTAAAATAAATTAAAAGAAAAAGGTAGAGTGAGAAAAGGGGAAAGAAAAGAGGAATGGAACCTTCCGGAAAGATCTTCCCCGACTTGGTACTGAAAGACGCGAATGACCCGCCGATAGGCAATGCTATGCGGAGGAAAGAAATTGGGGGTGAAATTCGGGGTGATATTCGGGGTGAAATTCGGGGAGAAATTGGGGGTGATATTTGGGGAGAAATTCAGGGTGATATTCGGGGTGAAATTCAGGGAGAAATTGGGGGTGGAATTCGGGGTGAAATTTGGGGAGAAATTGGGGGTGGAATTCAGGGTGAAATTGGGGGTGATATTCGGGGTGAAGTTCGGGGTGAAATTGGGGGTGAAATTCGGGGTGAAATTGGGGGTGAAATTCGGGGAGGAATTCGGGGTGAAATTCGGGGAGAAATTGGGGGTGAAATTCGGGATGGAAATCGGGGAAAAATTCGGGGTGAAATTCAGGGTGGAATTCGGGGTGAAATTCGGGGAGAAATTCAGGGTGAAATTTGGGGTGATATTCGGGGAGAAATTTGGGGTGAAATTTGGGGAGAAATTCGGGGAGAAATTTGGGGTGAAATTTGGGGAGAAATTCGGGGTGAAATTGGGGGTGGAATTTGGGGTGAAATTCAGGGAGGAATTCGGGGTGAAATTCGGGGTGAAATTTGGGGAGAAATTGGGGGTGAAATTCGGGGCGATATTCGGGGTGAAATTGGGGGATAAATTGGGGGTGATATTTGGGGAGAAATTCGGGGAGAAATTGGGGGTGAAATTGGGGGTGAAATTGGGGTGGAATTCGGGGTGAAATTGGGGGAGAAATTGGGGGTGATATTCGGGGAGAAATTGGGGGTGAAATTCGGGGAGAAATTTGGGGTGAAATTGGGGGAGAAATTGGGGGTGGAATTCGGGGAGAAATTGGGGGTGAAATTCGGGGAGAAATTCGGGGTGAAATTGGGGGTGAAATTCAGGGTGAAATTCAGGGTGATATTCGGGGAGAAATTCGGGGTGAAATTGGGGGTGGAATTCGGGGTGAAATTGGGGGAGAAATTGGGGGTGAAGTTCGGGGTGAAATTCGGGGTGAAATTGGGGGAGAAATTCGGGGAGGAATTGGGGGAGAAATTTGGGGTGAAATTCAGGGAGAAATTGGAGAAATTTGGGGTGAAATTGGGGGAGAAATTGGGGGTGAAATTCGGGGAGAAATTTGGGGTAAAATTCGGGGAGGAATTCGGGGTGAAATTCGGGGAAAATTGGGGGTGAAATTCGGGGTGATATTCGGGGTGAAATTCGGGGAGAAATTGGGGGTGAAATTCGGGGTGGAATTCGGGGTGAAATTCGGGGTGAAATTGGGGGAGAAATTCGGGGTGATATTCGGGGTGAAATTCGGGGTGATATTCGGGGAGAAATTGGGGTGAAATTGGGGGTGATATTAGGGGAGAAATTGGGGGTGGAATTCGGGGAGAAATTCGGGGTGAAATTAGGATTTTATGGGGGGAGAAGGGGCGGGGATAAGCAGGGGCGGAGCAATGAAGGCGGGGTCATAATGATGCAAATACCTACTCAATGGGGCAATACCTAGGTCAATGGGGCAATATCTAGGTCAATGGGGCAATATCTAGGTCAATGGGGCAATACCTGGGCAGGCGGGGCAATAGCTAGGTGAATGGGGCAATAGCTAGGGAAAGTACCTAGGTATATGGGGCAATATCTAGGTATATGGGGCAGTATCTAGGGCAATGGGCCAATACCTGGGCAGGCGGTGCAATATCTAGGTCAATGGGGCAACATCTGGGCAGGTGGGGCAATAGCTAGGGAAATAGCATTGCAAATGGGGCAATATCTAGGTCAATGGGGCAGTACTTGGGCAGGTGGGGCAATACCTAGGTCAACGGGGCAATACCTAGGTCAATGGGGCAATAACTATGCAGATGGGGCAATATCTAGGTCAATGGGGCAATAGCTAGGGAAAGTACCTAGGTATATGGGGCAATATCTAGGATAATGGGGCAATAACTTCAGGCGGGGCAATACGGAAGTCAGTGGGGCAATACCTGGGCAGGTGGGGCAATTACTATGCAGATGGGGCAATATTTATGCAAATACCTATGCAAATGGGGCAATACCTGTGCAGATGGGGCAATAACTATGCAGATGGGGCAATAACTATGCAGATGGGGCAATAACTATGCAAATAGCTATGCAAATGGGGCAATACCTCCGCAGGTGGGGCAATAACTATGGAGATGGGGCAATCATTATGCAGATGGGCAATAACTATGTAAATAGCTATGCAAATGGGGCAATACCTCAGCAGGTGGGGCAATAATTATGCAGATGGGGCAATAACTATGTAAATACCTGTGCAGATGGGGCAATAAGTATGGCTATGGGGCAATAACTATGCAGATGGGGCAATACCTGTGTAAAGACCTATGCCAGTGGGGCAATACCTGTGTAGACGGGGCAATATCTAGGTCAATAGCTATGCCAATGGGGCAATACCTGGGCAGACGGGGCAATAGCTAGGTGGGGCAATATCTAGGGAAAGTACCTAAGTATATGGGGCAATATCTAGGTTAATGGGGCAATACCTGGGCAGGTGGGGCAATATCTAGGTCAATGGGGCAATACCTGGGCAGACGGGGCAATTACTACGCAGATGGGGCAATACTTATGCAAATACCTATGCAAATGGGGCAATACCTGGGCAGACGGGGCAATTACTACGCAGATGGGGCAATACTTATGCAAATACCTATGCAAATGGGGCAATACCTGTGCAGACGGGGCAATTACTACGCAGATGGGGCAATACTTATGCAAATACCTATGCAAATGGGGCAATACCTGTGCAGACGGGGCAATTACTACGCAGATGGGGCAATACTTATGCAAATACCTATGCAAATGGGGCAATACCTGTGCAGACGGGGCAATTACTACGCAGATGGGGCAATACTTATGCAAATACCTATGCAAATGGGGCAATACCTGGGCAGGTGGGGCAATTACTACGCAGATGGGGCAATAAGTATTTAAATACCTATGCAAATGGGGCAATAGGTATGTAAATACCTATGCAGATTGGGCAATAAGTATGGATATGGGGCAATAACTATGCAGACGGGGCAATAGCTAGGTCAATGGGGCAATATCTAGGCAAATAACTATATCAATGGGGCAATACCTCCGCAGGTGGGGCAATAACTATGCAAATGGGGCAATAACTATGCAGATGGGGCAATTACTATGCAGATGGGGCAATAGCTAGGTCAATGGGGCAATATCTAGGCAAATAACTATTTCAATGGGGCAATACCTCCGCAGGTGGGGCAATAACTATGCAAATGGGGCAATTACTATGCAGATGGGGCAATTACTATGCAGATGGGGCAATACTTATGCAAATGGGGCAATACCTGTGCAGATGGGGCAATTACTACGCAGATGGGGCAATAGCTAGGTCAATGGGGCAATATCTAGGCAAATAACTATATCAATGGGGCAATAACTATGCAGATGGGGCAATAACTATGCAAATGGGGCAATTACTATGCAGATGGGGCAATTACTATGCAGATGGGGCAATACTTATGCAAATGGGGCAATACCTGTGCAGATGGGGCAATTACTACGCAGATGGGGCAATAGCTAGGTCAATGGGGCAATATCTAGGCAAATAACTATATCAATGGGGCAATAACTATGCAGATGGGGCAATTACTACGCAGATGGGGCAATACTTATGCAAATACCTATGCAAATGGGGCAATTACTACACAGACGGGGCAATACTCCGGCACAAGACACCGACGTCACGAGCAAGCGGCTTTTTTGAGGAGAAAAAGGAGTAGTTGGTACTCACCCGTCGAGTAAGTAGGTCCTGGCGGAGGGTCCGAGTAACAGGAAGCGGGAGTAACGTTCCGGGGAGAAGGGGGAGAAAGAAAAGGGAGGTTAGCCAAGGGTTGACGGAAATAATAATAATAATAAGTAGTAGTAGTAGTAATAGAAGTACAATAATAGTAGTAGTAACAGTAGTAACAACTGCTACTATTTTTACTATTATTGCTGATATTGTTACTATCACTTCTGTTACTGTTGTTGAGAGAGAAAAGAAGCCTAAAATCTTTGATAAATCTAATCTCAGGACTAGTAGTAGTAGTAGTAGTAGTAAAGGTAACGGTCACGGTAACAATAATAGTAACCGTAGTAGTAATCACAACAGTCACAGTAGAAATAGGGATAGCGACAGTAACAATAGCAGTAGCAATAGTAAAACCAGTAGAGCGGTGGTAGTAATAAGAATAGTAACAACAACAGTATCACTAGAAGTTGCAATATTAGTAACAGTGGCAATATTAGTAGCAGCATTAGTAACGGTAACAGCGGAAGTGATAGTGATAGTAACAAAAGCAGTAGTTGCAAAAATAGTAGTGGTAGTAGTAATAGTTATAATAACAATAGTAACAATAGAAGTAACAACAACAAAACAACAACAGCAGTAGTAGCAGCAGCAGTAGTAGTAGCAGCAGTAGCAACAGTAACAGTAGTAGCACCTGGTTTCCTGGATCCACTGGTGGAAGGCGTTGGCGTGCTGGGCAAACTCCTGGCACATTTCCTATTACTACTACTACTACTACTACTACTACTATTATTCCACGCAATAATATTAATAAATCGAGCGGCACCTGGTTTCCTGGATCCACTGATGATGATTACTACCACTATGACTACTACTGCCACTACTACTACTACTACTACTACTATCGTCATTACTCCACGCAATAATACTAATAAATCGAGCGGCGGCACCTGGTTTCCTGGATCCACTGATGATGATGATGATGATTACTACTGCCACTACTACTACTACTACTACTATCATTACTCCACGCAAAAATACTAATAAATCGAGCGGCGGCACCTGGTTTCCTGGATCCACTGATGATGATGATGATGATTACTACTGCCACTACTACTACTACTACTACTATCATTACTCCACTAATAAATCGAGCGGCGGCACCTGGTTTCCTGGATCCACTGGTGGAAGGCGTTGGTGTGCTGGGCAAACTCCTGGCACATTTCCTATTACTACTACTACTACTCCACGCAATAATAATAAATCGAGCGGCGGCACCTGGTTTCCTGGATCCACTGATGATGATGATGATTATTACTACTGCCACTACTACTACTACTACTCCACGCAATAGTAATAAGAAATGGAGGGCACCTGGTTTCCTGGATCCACTGATGATGATGATGATGATTACTACCACTATTACTACTACTGCCACTACTACCACTACTCCTCTCATTACTCCACGCAAAAATACTAATAAATCGGCGGCGGCACCTGGTTTCCTGGATCCACTGGTGGAAGGCGTTGGCATGTTGGGCAAACTCCTGGCGCATTTCCTATTACTACTACTACTACTACTACTACTACTATTACTCCACGCAAAAATACTAATAAATCGAGCGGCGGCACCTGGTTTCCTGGATCCACTGGTGGAAGGCGTTGGCGTGCTGGGCAAACTCCTGGCGCATTTCCTATTACTACTACTACTACTACTCCACGCAATAATATTAATAAATCGAGCGGCACCTGGCTTCCTGGATCCACTGATGATGATGATGATGATGATGATTACTACTGCCACTACTACTACTACTCCACGCAATAGTAATAAGAAATGGAGGGCACCCGGTTTCCTGGATCCACTGATGATGATGATGATGATTACTACTGCCACTACTACTACTATCATTACTCCACGCAAAAATACTAATAAATCGAGCGGCGGCACCTGGTTTCCTGGATCCACTGATGATGGTGATGATTACTACCACTATTACTACTACTGCCACTACTACTACTACTACTACTATTACTCCACACAAAAATACTAATAAATTGAGCGGCGGCACCTGGTTTCCTGGATCCACTGATGATGATGATGATTACTACCACTATTACTACTACTGCCACTACTACTACTACCACTACTACTATCCCACGCAATAATATTAATGAATCGAGCGGCACCTGGTTTCCTGGATCCACTGATGATGGTGATGATTACCACTGCCACTACTACTACTACTACTACTATCATTACTCCAGGCAAAAATACTAATAAATCGAGCGGCGGCACCTGGTTTCCTGGATCCACTGGTGGAAGGCGTTGGCGTGCTGGGCAAACTCCTGGCACATTTCCTATTATTACTACTACTACTACTACTCCACGCAATAATAATAAATCGAGCGGCGGCACCTGGTTTCCTGGATCCACTGATGATGATGATGATTATTACTACTGCCACTACTACTACTACTACTACTCCTCTCATTACTCCACGCAAAAATACTAATAAATCGAGCGGCGGCACCTGGTTTCCTGGATCCACTGGTGGAAGGCGTTGGCATGTTGGGCAAACTCCTGGCGCATTTCCTATTACTACTACTACTACTACTACTACTATTACTCCACGCAAAAATACTAATAAATCAAGCGGCAGCACCTGGTTTCCTGGATCCACTGGTGGAAGGCGTGCTGGGCAAACTCCTGGCGCATTTCTTATTACTACTACTACTACTACTACTCCACGCAAAAATACTAATAAATCGAGTGGCACCTGGTTTCCTGGATCCACTGGTGGAAGGCGTTGGCATGCTGGGCAAACTCCTGGTGCATTTCCTATTACTACTACTACTACTACCATTACTCCACGCAAAAATACTAATAAATCGAGCGGCGGCACCTGGTTTCCTGGATCCACTGATGATGATGATGATGATTACTACTGCCACTACTACTACTACTACTCCACGCAATAGTAATAAGAAATGGAGGGCACCTGGTTTCCTGGATCCACTGATGATGATGATGATTATTACCACTGCCACTACTACTACTACTACTACTATCATTACTCCATGCAAAAATACTAATAAATCGAGCGGCGGCACCTGGTTTCCTGGATCCACTGATGATGATGATGATGATGATGATGATTACTACCACTATTACTACTACTGCCACTACTACTACTACTATCGTCATTACTCCACGCAATAATACTAATAAATCGAGCGGCGGCACCTGGTTTCCTACCACTATTACTACTACTGCCACTACTACTACTACTACTACTACTATCATTACTCCACGCAAAAATACTAATAAATCGAGCGGCGGCACCTGGTTTCCTACCACTATTACTACTACTGCCACCACTACTACTACTACTACTATCTCACGCAATAATATTAATAAATCGAGCGGCACCTGGTTTCCTGGATCCACTGGTGGAAGGCGTTGGCATGCTGGGCAAACTCCTGGCACATTTCCTATTACTACTACTACTACTACTACTCCACATAAAAATACTAATCGAGCGGCACCTGGTTTCCTGGATCCACTGGTGGAAGGCGTTGGCGTGTTGGGCAAACTCCTGGCGCAGCTTGTCGTTCTCCTCCTGGCGCCGCTGCTCCTTCTGCAGTTCCAGCTCCCGCTCCTAGGGGGGAGTAATTAATTAAGGGAAATTATCCAATTATCGGAATTAATATCCCATTATCGGAATGATTATCCAGTTATCGGAATTATTATCCAAAGATCCAATCGGGTCTCTTCTCGCAAACCCGGCGGGAAAAGCGGATTCGGTGGGGATCCGTTTCAATGGCGGGGTATAAAGGATTAATAATACTACTACTAATAATACTACTACTACTAATAATAATACTAATACTAATAATAATAATACTACTAATAATAATAATAATAATGCTAATACTACTACTACTACTAATACTACTACTACTAATAATAATAATAATAAGTTCGAGCTCCCGCTCCTGGGGGGGGGGAATTAATTAAGGGAAATTATCCAATTATCGGAATTAATATCCCGTTATCGGAATGATTATCCAAAGATCCAATCGGGTCTCTTCTCGCAAAGCCGGCGGGAAAACCAGATTCGGTGGGGATCCGTTTCAAGGGCGGGGTATAAAGGATTAAGAATACTAATACTACTACTACTACTACTAATACTAATACTAATACTAATACTAATAATACTACTACTAATACTACTACTACTAATAATAATACTGATACTGATACTACTACTACTGCTACTACTACTAATAATAATAATACTAATACCAATACTACTACTACTACTACTACTACTAATAATAATAATGTTATTGTTGTTATTCAATGGTGATTTGCAAACAGCCGGATGATGATTTGCTCACAATCGGAAGGGAGCCTAGAACTTTCCAGAACGTCCCAGAATGTTCTAGAACTTCCGACAGGGAAGGGGATCCCAGTGGAGATCCACTACCTTGATGATCTTCCGGAGCTTGCGCCTTCATGGAGCCTAGAACTTTCCAGAACCTTCCAGAACAGCCTAGAACTTTTGACGGGGTTGGGGGATCCCCGGGGAGATCCACTACCTAGAACTTTCGACAGCCTAGAACTTTCGACAGGGAAGGGGATCCCGGGGGAGATCCACTACCTTGATGATCTTCTGGAGCTTGCGGCTTCATGGAGCCTAGAACTTTCCAGAACCTTCCAGAACAGCCTAGAACTTTTGACGGGGTTGGGGGATCCCCAGGGAGATCCACTACCTAGAACTTTCGACAGCCTAGAACTTTCGACAGGGAAGGGGATCCCGGGGGAGATCCACTACCTTGATGATCTTCTGGAGCTTGCGGCTTCATGGAGCCTATAACTTTCCAGAACCTTCCGGAACAGCCTAGAACGTTCGACGGGGAAGGGGATTGGGGGATCCCCAGGGAGATCCACCACCTAGAACTTTTGACAGCCTAGAACTTTCGACAGGGAAGGGGATCCCGGGGGAGATCCACTACCTTGATGACCTTCTGGAGGTTGCGGCTTCATGGAGCCTAGAACTTTCCAGAACCTTCCAGAACAGCCTAGAACTTTCGACGGGGAAGGGGATTGGGGGATCCCCGGGGAGATCCACTACCTAGAACTTTCGACAGCCTAGAACTTTCGACAGGGAAGGGGATCTGGGGATTCCCAGGAAGATCCACTATCTTGATTATTTTCTGGAGGTTGTGCCAGGTCTAGAACCTTCCAGAACTGTCTAGAACAGTCTAGAATCTCCGACAGGGAAGGGGATTGGGGGATCCTGGGGGAGATCCACTACCTGGATGATCTTCTGGAAGTTGCGCCAGGTCTACAACCTTCCAGAACTGTCTAGAACAGTCCTGAGCCTCCGTAGAAGCTTCCAGAACTTTCTAGAACTGCCTAGAATTTGGGATCCGCTACCTTGACGATCTTCTGCAGGTTCCACCAGGTCTCCTCCAGCGCCTCCATGGTGAACCGAGTGTACGGGTTCGAGGCGACCCGGAACGACCCGGAACCCCCGTCTTGAACTCGGCTCTGCGGCTTCGTGGAGCCTAGAACATTCCAGAGCCTTCTGGAACCTTCCAGAACTTTCCAGAATGTTCTCTAACCTCTGACAGGGAAGGGGATTGGGGGATTCCCGGGGAAATCCACTACCTTGATGATCTCTGTGAATTCACGGAGCCTAGAACCTTCCAGCGCTGTCCAGAGCAGGCGAGAACTTTGATGGGAACTTCAGCGCACGTCCCAGAACAATCTGGAACGTTCTGGAAGCCTGTCTCAAACTCGGATCTGAGACTTCGCGAAGCCTAGAACCTCCCAAAACCTCCCAGAACTTTCCAGAACTTCCTCTAACATCTGACAGGGAAGGAGATTCAGGGTTCAAAGGGAGTCTAAAACCTTCCTGAACCTTCTGAAACGTTCCAGAACTTTCTAGAACAGCCCAGAAGTTTCCTCAGGGAAATGGGATTTGGGGGATTATGTGAGTCTAGAACCTTCCATAACTTTCCAGGAGTTGCAGATTCCCGGGGAGTCTAGAACCTTCTAGAATTTTCTGAAACTCCAGAACTTTCCATAACAGCCTAGAACTTTTGACAGGGAAGGGGATTGGGTGATCCCTGGGGAGATCCACTACCTTGGTGATCTTCTGGAGGTTCCGCCAGGTCTCCTCGAGTGCTTCTAGAACAGCCTAGAACTTTCGACAGGGAAGGGGATCTGGGGATTCCCAGGGCGTCTAGAATCTTCCAAAACCTCCCAGAACACTCCAAAACTTTCAATTCAGGGATCCACGGGGAGATCCACTACCTTGATGATCTTCTGGAACTTTCCAAGACATTCCAGAATTTTCTAGAGCAGCCTCTAACTTTCAACAGGGAAGGGGATTCCTGGGGAAACTTCTAAAACTTCCGGAAGAACCTGGAACTTTCAAGATGGAAGGGGATTTGGGGATTCCTTGAGAGCCTAGAACATTCTACAACCTTCCGGAAGTTTCCAGATCTTTCAAAAACACTCTAGCCTGGAAACAGCCTAGAACTTTCAAAAGGGAAAGGGATTCGGGGAGTCTAGAACCTTCCAGAACTTTCTAGAACAGTCTCTAACTTCCGACAGGGAAGAGGATTTGGGGATTCCCAGGGAAATCCACTACCTTGATGCTTCCTGTAACTTCGCGGAGCCTAGAACTTTCCAGAACTGTCTAGAACAGCCTGGAACTGTGATGGGAACTCCAGCACACGTTCTGGAATGATCCGGAACATTCCGGAACCCTGTCTCAAACTCAGACCTGCGACTTCGCAGAGTCTAGAACCATCTGTAACCTTCCGGAGCTTTCCAGAAGTGTCTAAGAAGAGCCTAGAACTTCGATGGGAACTCCAGCACACATTCCAGAACGCTGCTTCGAACTCAGATCTGCGACTTCGCGGCGCCTAGAACCTTCTGTAACCTTCCGGAACTTTCTAAAACAGCCCCGAACTTCTGACAGGGAAGGGGGTTCGGGGATCCCAGGGAGTCTAGAACCTTCTGAAACTTTCCGGAACTGTCTAGAACTGACAGGTGAAGGAGATTTGGGGATAACCATGGAGTTTAGAACCTCCTGGAACTTTCCGGAACAACCTAGAACTTCCAAGAGGGAAGGGGATTTGGGGGTTCCTGGAGAGCCTAGAACCTTCCAGAACTTTCTAAAACTGTCTAGAACTGTCTCTGACAGGGAAGGGGATCTGGGGATTCCCAGGGAGATCCACTACCTTGATGATCTTCTGCAGGTTCCGCCGGCCACCCAGAAGGGAACCTAGAACCTTCCCGAAGCTTTCTAGAACAAGCTAGAATGTGGGATCCACTATTTCTGGAGGTTCCACCGGCTCTGGAACCTTCTAGAACTTCCCAAAGCTTTCTAGAACGGCCTAGAACTTTCAACCTGGATGGGGATCTGGGGATCCGCTACCTTGACGATCTTCTGGAGGTTCTGCCGGCCACCCAGAAGGGAACCTAGATCCTTCCCGAAAGGGAAGAATGTGGGATCCACTACTTCTGGAGGTTCCACCAGCTCTAGAACCTTCTAGAACTTCCCAAAATTTTCAACCCGGATGGGGATCCGGGGATTCGCTACCTTGATGATCTTCTGGAGGTTCTGCCGGCCACCCGGAAGGGAACCTAGAACCTTCCCGAAGCTTTCTAGAACAAGCTGGAATGTGGGATCCACCACCTTGATGATCTTCTGCAGGTTCTGCCAGCCACCCAGAAGGGAACCTAGAACCTTCCCGAAAGGGAAGAATGTGGGATCCACTACTTCTGGAGGTTCCACCGGCTCTGGAACCTTCTAGAACTTCCCAAAGCTTTCTAGAACGGCCTAGAACTTTCAACCTGGATGGGGATCTAGGGATCCGCTACCTTGACGATCTTCTGGAGGTTCTGCCGGCCACCCAGAAGGGAACCTAGAACCTTCCCAAACTTCTAGAACTTCCCAAAACTTTCCAGAACGGCCTAGAACTTTCAACCCGGATGGGGATCCGGGGATCCGCTACCTTGATGATCTTCTGCAGGTTCCGCCAGGTCTCCTCCAGCGCCTCCATGGTGAACCAAGTGTAGGGGTTGGAAGCCACCCAGAAACTCCGGATCTGCCTCTCCAGCTCGGCCAATTGGTTGAAGTCGGCCTGGGCGGAGCTTAAGGAGGCGCGGAACGACCTGGAACCCCCGTCTAGAACTCGGCTCTGCGACTTCCCTGGGCCTAGAACCTTCCAAAACCTTCTGGAACTTTCCATAGCTTTCTAGAACAGCCCAGAACTTTCAATAGGGAAGGGGATTCGGGGATTCCTGGGGAACCTAGAACCTTCCAGAACTTTATGGAACTTTCCAGAACAGCCTAGAACTTTTTACTGAAGGGGATTTGGGGTGTCCATTGCGGGAACGTTCCGGAAACTCGGCTCTGCAACTTTGTGGGGTCTAGAACTTTCCGGAGCTTTCCCCAGAACGGTCCAGAACAGTGAAGGGAATTGGAGGATCCCTGGGGAGTCGAGAACCTTCTAGAACCTTCCAGAACCTTCTAGAACAGCCCAGAACTTTCAATAGGGAAGGGGATTCGGGATTCCTGGGAACCTAGAACCTTCCAGAACTTTATGGAACTTTCCAGAACAGCCTAGAACTTTTTACTGAAGGGGATTTGGGGTGTCCATTGCGGGAACGTTCCGGAAACTCGGCTCTGCAACTTTGTGGGGTCTAGAACTTTCCGGAGCTTTCCCCAGAACGGTCCAGAACAGTGAAGGGAATTGGAGGATCCCTGGGGAGTCGAGAACCTTCTAGAACCTTCCAGAACCTTCTAGAACAGCCCAGAACTTTCAATAGGGAAGGGGATTCGGGGATTCCTGGGGAACCTAGAACCTTCCAGAACTTTATGGAACTTTCCAGAACAGCCTAGAACTTTTTACTGAAGGGGATTTGGGGTGTCCATTGCGGGAACGTTCCGGAAACTCGGCTCTGCAACTTTGTGGTGTCTAGAACTTTCCGGAGCTTTCCCAGAACGGTCCAGAACAGGCTCGAACTTCCGACAGTGAAGGGAATTGGAGGATCCCTGGGGAGTTGAGAACCTTCTAGAACCTTCCAGAACCTTCTAGAACAGCCCATAACTTTCAACAGGGAAGGGGATTTGGGGATTCCTGGGGAACCCAGAACCTTCTGAAACTTTCCAGAACTTTCCGAAACTTTCCTAACTTCCAATGGGGAAGGGGATTTAGGGATTCTGGGGAGCCTAGAACCTCCTAGAACCTTCCAGAACCTTCTGATACGATTGATGATTGATCGAACGATTGATGATGTCTTCCAAAGGAACCTAGAACCTTCCGGAACTTTCCAAAGCTTTCTAGAACCGCCTAGGACTTTCGGCAGGGAAGGGGATCGGGGGATCCCCGGGGAGATCCACTACCTCAGTGATCTTCTGGAGGTTCTGCCAGCCCCCCAGAAGGGAACCTAGAACCTTCCAGAACCTCCTGGAACCTCCCGAAACTCTCCAGAACCGCCTCTAACTTCTGACAGGGAAGGAGATCTGGGATCCGCTACCTTGATGATCTTCTGCAGGTTCCGCCAGGTCTCCTCCAGCGCCTCCATGGTGAACCAAGTGTAGGGGTTGGAAGCCACCCGGAAGCTCCGGATCTGCCTCTCCAGCTCGGCCAATTGGTTGAAGTCGGCCTGGGCGGAGCTTAGGGAGGCGCGGAAGGCGTCATGCGCCTCCCTCAGCGCCCGGATCTCCTCCAGCGAGTTGCAGCGCACGGGATCCGTTAGATCCTCCTCGGCGTTCTCGAACCAGCTGTTGAAGGCGGAGGCCTTCTTGGCGAAGGTGAGGAAGAGATCTTCCACCTGGGTAGGGAAGACGAATAATAAGAGTAATGAGAATAATCATATTAATAAATGATTAAGAGTAATAATGATTAAGAGTAATAATCATAATAATAGTAATAGTAATAGTAATAATGATAATAAATGATTAATAATAATAATAAGAGTAATACTAATAAGAGTAATGAGAATAATCATATTAATAAGTGATTAAGAGTAATAATGATTAAGAGTAATAATCGTAATAATAGTAATAGTAATAGTAATAATAATAATGATAATAAATGATTAATAATAATAATAATAAGAGTAATACTAATAAGAGTAATGAGAATAATCATATTAATAAATGATTAAGAGTAATAATGATTAAGAGTAATAATCGTAATAATAGTAATAGTAATAGTAATAATGATAATGATAATAAATGATTAATAATAATAATAATAATAAGAGTAATACTAATAAGAGTAATGAGAATAATAATATTAATAAGTGATGAATAGTAATCAGGAGTAATAGTAATAATCGTAGTAATAGTAATAATGATAATGATAATAAATGATTAATAATAATAATAATAGTAATGAGAATAATAATATTAATAAATGATGAATAGTAATCATGATTAATAGTAATAACCGTAGTAATAGTAATAATGATAATGATAATAAATGATTAATAATAATAATAATAATAAGAGTAATACTAATAAGAGTAATGAGAATAATCATATTAATAAATGATTAAGAGTAATAATGATTAAGAGTAATAATCGTAATAATAGTAATAGTAATAATGATAATGATAATAAATGATTATTAATAATAATAATAATAAGAGTAATACTAATAAGAGTAATGAGAATAATAATATTAATAAATGATTAAGAGTAATAATGATTAAGAGTAATAATCGTAATAATAGTAATAGTAATAGTAATAATGATAATGATAATAAATGATTAATAATAATAATAATAATAAGAGTAATACTAATAAGAGTAATGAGAATAATAATATTAATAAATGATGAATAGTAATCAGGAGTAATAGTAATAATCGTAGTAATAGTAATAATGATGATAATAAATGATTAATAATAATAATAGTAATGAGAATAATAATATTAATAGATGATTGATAGTCATCATGATTAATAGTAATAACCGTAGTAATAGTAATAATGATAATAAATGATTAAAAATAATAATAATAATAATAAGAGTAATGAGAATAATAATATTAATAAATGATGAATAGTAATCATGATTAATAGTAATAATCGTAGTAATAGTAATAATGATAATAAATGATTAATAATAATAATAATAATAATAAGAGTAATGAGAATAATAATATTAATAAATGATGAATAGTAATCATGATTAATAGTAATAATCATAGTAATAGTAATAATGATAATGATAATAAATGATTAGTAATAATAATAATAATAATAGTAATGAGAATAATAATATTAATAAATGATGAATAGTAATCATGATTAATAGTAATAATCGTAGTAATAGTAATAATGATAATGATAATAAATGATTAGTAATAATAATAATAATAATAGTAATGAGAATAATAATATTAATAAATGATGAATAGTAATCATGATTAATAGTAATAATCGTAGTAATAGTAATAATGATAATGATAATAAATGATTAGTAATAATAATAATAATAATAGTAATGAGAATAATAATATTAATAAATGATGAATAGTAATCATGATTAATAGTAAGAATCGTAGTAATAGTAATAATGATAATAAATGATTAATAATAATAATAATAATAATGAGTAATGAGAATAATCATATTAATAAATGATGAATAGTAATAAGGATTAAGAGTAATAATCGTAGTAATAGTAATAATGATAATGATAATAAATGATTAATAATAATAATAGTAATGAGAATAATAATATTAATAAATGATTGATAGTCATCATGATTAATAGTAATAACCGTAGTAATAGTAATAATGATAATGATAATAAATGATTAGTAATAATAATAATAATAATAGTAATGAGAATAATAATATTAATAAATGATGAATAGTAATCATGATTAATAGTAATAATCGTAGTAATAGTAATAATGATAATAAATGATTAATAATAATAATAATAATAATAATAATAAGACTAATGAGAATAATCATATTAATAAATGATGAATAGTAATAAGGATTAAGAGTAATAATCGTAGTAATAGTAATAATGATAATGATAAATGATTAATAATAATAATATTAATAATAATAATAGTAATGAGAATAATAATATTAATAAATGATGAATAGTAATCATGGTTAATAGTAATAATCGTAGTAATAGTAATAATGATAATGATAATAAATGATTAATAATAATAATAATCTCCACCTAGGAGGGAAGGGAGAGGATTGGGATCTTGCAGGAAGCTAATAATACTGATAATAATAATAATAAGAAGAAGAAGAATATTAATAAATGATGAATAGTCATAATGATGAATAGTAATGATCGTAGTAATAGTAATAATGATAATGATAATAAATGATTAATAATAATAATAATATTATCAATAAATATAATAATAATAATAATAATAATAATATCAATAAGTATAATAATAATAATAATATTCAATAATAATAATAATAATAATAATATATAATATAATATTCGCCCACCTTCCGGAAGTGTTCCTGGGCTTCCAGGCGCTTCTTCTATGTCCTATGGGTCCTACCCCCTTTTTTCTATGGGTCCTGCCCCCGTGTTTCTATGGGGCCGCCCCCATTTTTGCTATGGGGCCTGTCCCCTTTCTCCCCCCCAGCCCCCCGGAAGCCCCGCCCACCTTCCGGAAGCGTTCCTGGGCTTCCAGAAACTTCTTCTATGGGTCCCGACTTGCCCCCTTTTTCTCCCCACCGAAGCCCGGCCCCCTTACTCTGCCCACCTTTTCTCTGCCCCACGGAAGCCCCACCCCTTTCTTTGCCCCACTGAAGCCCCACCCTCTTTCTCTGCCCCAAACCTGCCCCCTTTCCCGGCGCTTCTTCTATTTCCTATGGGTCCTACCCCCTTTTTTCTATGGGTCCTGCCCCCTTTCCCTCCCCCCTGCCCCACTGAAGCCCCACCCCTTTCTCTGCCCCACTGAAGCCCTACCCTGCCCCCTTTCTCTCCCCACTGAAGCCCCGCCCCTTTCCGTTTCCTACGGGTCCCAACCTGCCCCCTTTCTCCCCCCCTGCCCCACGGAAGCCCCGCCCACCTCCCGGAAGTGCTCCTGGGCTTCCAAGCGCTTCTTCTATTTCCTATGGGTCCTACCCCCTTTTTTCTATGGGTCCTGCCCCCTTTTTTCTATGGGTCCTGTCCCCTTTCTCCCCCCGCCCCACGGAAGCCCCGCCCTCTTTCTCTGCCCCCAACCTGCCCCCTTTTCCTCCCCACTGAAGCCCCGCCCCTTTCTCTGCCCCACCCCTTTCTCTGCCCCACTGAAGCCCCACCCTCTTTCTCTGCCCCCTTTCTCTGCCCCACTGAAGCCCCGCCCCCTTTCCACTTCCGACGGGTCCCAACCTGCCCCCTTTCTCCCCCCCTGTCCCACGGAAGCCCCGCCCACCTTCCGGAAGTGCTCCTGGGCTTCCAGAAGCTTCTTCTATGGGTCCCGACTTGCCCCCCTTTTTCTCCCCACTGAAGCCCCACCCCTTTCTCTGTTCCACCCCTTTCTCTGCCCCACTGAAGCCCCGCTCTCTTTCTCTGCCCCCAACCTGCCCCCCTTTTTTCCCCACTGAAGCTTCTTCTATTTCCTATGGGTCCCAACCTGCCCCCTTTCCCCCTGCCCCACGGAAGCACCGCCCACCTTCCGGAAGTGTTTGTGGGCTTCCAGGCGCTTCTTCTATTTCCTATGGGTCCTACCCCCTTTTTTCTATGGGTCCTGCCCCCTTTCCCTCCCCCCTGCCCCACGGAAGTGTTCCTGGGCTTCCAGGTGCTTCTTCTATTTCCTATGGGTCCTACTCCCTTTTTCCTATAGGTCCTGCCCCCTTTTTTCTATGGGTCCTGCCTCCTTTTTCTCCCCACGGAAGCCCCGCCCACCTTCCGGAAGTGTTTGTGGGCTTCCAGGCGCTTCTTCTATTTCCTATGGGTCCTACCCCCTTTTTTCTATGGGTCCCGCCCCCTTTCTCCCCCCCCGCCCCACGGAAGCCCCGCCCACCTTCCGGAAGTGTTCCTGGCCTTCCAGGAGCTTCTTCTATGGGTCCCGACTTGCCCTCTTTTTCTCCCCACTGTAGCCCCACCCCTTTTTCTCTTCCACCCCTTTCTCTGCCCCACTGAAGCACCACCCTCTTTCTCTGCCCCCAACCTGCCCCCTTTCTCCCCCCCTGCCCCACGGAAGCCCCGCCCACCTTCCGGAAGTGTTCCTGGGCTTCCAGGCACTTCTTCTATTTCCTATGGGTCCCACCCCCTTTTTTCTATGGGTCCCGCCCCCTTTCCCTCCCCCCTGCCCCACGGAAGCCCCGCCCACCTTCCGGAAGTGTTCCTGGCCTTCCAGGAGCTTCTTCTATGGGTCCCGACTTGCCCTCTTTTTCTCCCCACTGTAGCCCCACCCCTTTTTCTCTTCCACCCCTTTCTCTGCCCCACTGAAGCCCCACCCCTTTCTCTGCCCCACTGAAGCCCCACCCTCTTTCTCTGCCCCCAACCTGCCCCCCTTTTCTCCCCACTGAAGGCCTGCCCACCTTCCAGTAGCTTCTTCTATTTCCTATGGGTCCCAAAACTGCCCCTTTCT